AAACTAGACATCAAAATACTGAACAGTCCAATTAAAAAATGGGCTAAAGAGCTAAAACAGAGAATTCACAAAACAAGAACTACAAATGGCTGAAAGACATTTAAAGAAATGCTCAGCATTCATTTTTCTTACATAAAGCTTAATGTAAGGTTTTTGTTTTTTTGTTTTTTTGTTTTTTAAAGAAACACCCCCTTCCTCCCTCCATGGGAATTGAAAAAGCCTTTAGGCTAGGGGTGGGGACAAGGATTTTGGCTGGACATGGAGGCTGAACTGGGAAGATCACAAGTTCCAAGTAATCCGAGTGAGAGAGGGAGACCTTGTCTCGTTAAATGTAAAACATAAAATAGGTGGGGAAGCTTCTAGAAGCTCAGACTCTTACAGGAAGGTCAGAGGCTCAGGTTGAAGTGGTAACTACAGGGTGGATCATTTCGAGGAAATAAGAAGCCGCCTGGAGTTCTGCCATCTATTTGTCTGAACAGTTTGATGGCACATTCTGAGATCCTGGGCGTGAGGCCCTGCCCTGCAGATAAGCACTCCTGTCCAGGACCAGAGCTGGCATTCAGAGCTGAGGCAGCCTTTTCCTCCTAGGCAGCCTTTTCCTCCTCCGCTGCTTATCTGTCAGCAACACCAGGGGCCTCTTCTGTCACTGTCCTCTCCTCCAGCTCTCAATAGATGTGACAACACCCTTCACTTTTCCTCCCTATATTAGTCACATTCATTGTGACAAAATGCCTGAGGTAATAAACTTTTGTGTTTGTTTGTTTGAGACATTGTATCACTATGTAGCTCTGACTGTCCTGGAACTCACTCTGTAGACCAGGCTGGCCTCCGACTCACAGAGGTCTGTCTGCCTCTGCCTCCCAAGCGCTGGCATAAAGATGTGTGCCATCATGCTTAGCAAGGTAATCAACTTTTTTTGTTTGTTTTGTTTTTGCAAAACAAGACAGGGTTTCTCTGTGTAGCCCTGGCTGTCCTGGAACTCACATTGTAGACCAGGCTGGCCTAGAACTCACAGAGATCTGCCTGGGATTATAGGAGTACAGCCCTCCCACCCCACCCTCCACCCACCCCCTCCAACCCCCACCCCCTGCGGTAATAAACTTTTAAAGAGAAAGCTTTGCTTGGCTCACAGTTTCACAAGTTTCCGTCTGTGGTCACGTGACTACTGCTTTGGGACTGTGGTGACTGTGGTGTCACAGGAGGTCGTAGGAATGGGGCCATCAGCTGAGGAGGCTGCTCACCTCCTGGTGTGCAGGAAGCTGAGAGAAGACTAAGAGGGGACCATCTTGCCGCAGCAAGGTCCTACCTCCCAGTAGCACCACATAGAGATCCCTGGGAGACATTTGGATTAGAGTTCAAAGGAGGATCAGGCACAGGTCCCCTGTCCTTGAGAATTCTGTTACCTAAACAAGGAGGGGTGTTCCAGACAGAAATTCCATCTGCCAGTATAATCATCAGCTCTCTGTTTATCAATAACTAGAAAAGCAAGGGTTCTCTCTGAGAGTCTCACTCACTAACTAGCTCTGGCTGTCCTAGAGCTCATTAAGTACATCAGTGTAGCCTTGAACTCACAGAGATCTGCCTCCTTCTGCCTCCTGGGTGCCGGATTAAAGATGAGCGCCAGCACCCCAGGCAAACAAACAAAAATTTTAAATTAAGTTGCTCACTTCTTCCGTTCCCTTCCGTTCTCTTCCATTCCCTTTCCTTCCCTTCCCTTCTCTCCCCTCCTCCCTTCCCTCCCCTCCCCTCCCCTTTTCTTTCTCCCCTTCCTCTGTCTTAATCTCTTTTCTTTCCTTTTAAAGTCTTGCAGTCTTGCTGAATAGCTCAGGCATGTCTAGAACTCCTGATCTTTCCCCTTCAGCTTTCTGAATGCTGGATGACAATTCAGTGCCCTTTATTTCATAAATTAGTGATGGGGGCACAGACAATAGTGCACGCCTTTAATCCCAGCAGGCTGGAGCAGAGGCAGGCAGATCACTGAGTTCCAGGCTAGCCAGTGCTACAGGGTGGGATGCTGTCTCAAAAAAAAAGAAAAGAAAAATAGAAAAAGGAAAAGGAAGGTGGTGTGAGAAGAGGAGAAATGAAAATAAAACACCTGCCCACCCCTAATAAAAAAAAATTAACAGATATCAAACACAAACAAAACCCACTGTTAAGTTGCTTCAAAATATGCAAACACTAAGATAAAAGAAACATCTTATCAAACGGAGAAGTGAAAACCAACTGTGTTCCTGGTGCTTGGAAAGCAGACTTTGTCCCAAGGATGCTCAAGTGTGAGGGAGGTTGCAGGTGTGGAAACAGCAGTTTCAGGTACTGAGCCCCATTGGCTCAAAGCCCAAGAATCCGGCCAAGGAAAGATGGGTGCCACCCTTGGCTTAACCCCAGGACCACTTGTCTCTACCCTTTCCATCTCACTATTGAGTGACGTCCTGACAAGGCATCCCAGGAGACTCTGCTAAGGCCCTTACCAGACCGGTACGTGAGATGGCAACGTTCATAGGTCAAAGTGGACAGACATGAGCCCCCCAACTGGTTCACTTCCTCTCCATCACGGGGATTAGGGTGTGTAACTCCATCTCGTATAACCTGACTTCTCCAACGTGGCCCTACTCCTTGATGGTGCCACCACGGCCATCATAGGCTTGGGAGCGAACTTCCAGCAAATGGGCTATCAACTTCTGGGTGGAAGCCCGAGGGATGGATCCCTGAACGAAGTTAGCCTGGCATGGGCTCTGCTCTGGCGCAGTCATTTGGTAACTTGTTGAAGACAGAGTTTTAACTTCAGAAGGACCAAGTTGAAAGGGAGGAGACAGGCTGTTCCTGGGGGACGGGGGTTCCACTACTTGACAAGTTCTGGGCCTCGGAGGGCCACGTA